AAAACTCTCTGCAATTGCAGGAAAAAAGATGAATGTTCACTCTCTGGAAATTGCCTCACCTCATCCATCATCTACAAAGCCACTGTCTACTCACACACACACTCTACACACCGTTCAAAACCCGATACACAAACCACAAATACACTTTTAATACCCCCAAACACAGAAACAGCACCGTACTCTCCAAATACGTATGGAAATTAAAAGATAGCAACACACCCTACAACATTAAATGGTCTATCATCGACAGAGCATCGGCTTACTCCCCAAAAACAAAACGTTGTAACCTGTGCATAACCGAGAAACTCCACATAATATATTCAGACAAACGGTCAACACTAAACAAAAGAACCGAGCTATTGTCTAAATGCAGGCACAGCAACAAATACCTACTTAAAAACAATTAACTCATTTGCATTTTCACCTGTCTTAGCATTCATATACTCGCACAATCCTTGTATTCTCTCACTCCTGAAGATTGCATTAGCATGAAACAGTCTGTAGAGTGATAATACCCAGTTCTACAAGTTCTACATTTTCAATACTTTCAATATATTTATATATATATATATTTATATAATAATAATATAATAATAATACAAATAATAATAATAATAAAAATAATACAATTAATAATAATAATACTGCTAATATTATTACAAATAATATTATGGACATTGGTATTTATATAAAACATTTAGAAACAACAAAACAAATAATTGAATGAGTTATTATTACTGAATGAATCAGAATCATAAAAACAATATAAGAAAAATGAAATTAATCCATATACAGTAAACGGGGATTGATCAGGAGATATTCACTCGACTATGCATTATAAAATAGCAATAATGTTTTGTTTGAATGTATTACTACAAAAAAAAGAGATAATATCAAGTTGAAGCTCAAATAGATATACTCTTTTGAAAAACAGAGGGTTCACCGATAGATTTGACATAAGATACAGTAGTATGAAACAAACTCCGAAAAAGTGATACAAGCCATGATTTAATATTTCAAACTTTATTATTCGTAGTTTATCCTCATACATCTTTTTACCTTCATACATCTATGCATTTGTAAACTAGGACTCGATTCAAAAAATTGTTTACCAACATATCTGAAACTCAATAGTGATTTCATATCTACTTTGAAAGATAGTGTCTATTTAGACACTAGCAGCGAATGATAAGGCTCAGTGTCACCTGCCGCCTATCACCGTCCCAAAAATAACCACCAAAACATATAGGCCTAATTTGACATTAAAAATAATTTGACTACTACCTAACTTTAATATTTCTCAATATGTTTGATGCCTTTGTATTATGTCAAACAGTTATTCCGTAGAATTCAACAGATAAAAAATAGGCTCCCAGCGGGAACGTGTGTTATGCCCCATACTGTCTTACTGGATTTTGTTTACTAATATCCACATAGGATTTGGTTACCAGGAAATGTATGGTTTTTTTTTTTTGTATGTTTGTGGTACAGTCAAGGTAGAGTAATAAGCTCCTTAAAATAACACATGACCCATCATGCACCTCCACAGAATTTACAGGGTTAACCTCCACCGGATTTACACTTTCAGCCATATTTAACTGCCAGTTTGGGCATAGACACACAAATATCGTATGTTGTTTTTCCCCCCAGAAATTATTTGTATTTAGGATATATTTTTTTTCTATTTTTTTAAGGGGGCTGGGGGTGGGGGAAGTAACTCCCCATTATTCATCTTTTTAATGGTTTTCATATTTATGACAACATATTCATTTAAAAGAAAAAAATTATTTAGTAAACAAGTATAAAACAACATCAAACACAT